TTGTGAAGCATTCTAATTAAAGTAAGATATGTGTGGGTACTGTTCGTGAAAGTTAACTCCCCCTATAAAAGAACCCATCTTATAACATCACGATATCCCGGGTTGCCTACCCCCTCGTGTGCACCCAATGGATCCAAAAAGATTCCTCCCCCCTTTCAATAGGGAGAGATTACAGAAAAGCCAATGCCATTCGCAAGTCACCGCCGCCGTCCGCGTGACCAATCAAGCGCTGTTGAGAGCAGAGAGAGGTCTCGTCAGGCCCGGCTCTCCATGGTGCCCCAGAGATTCGTCAACATGCTCGACTCCTGCTCGGCGGGTTCCGCGTCGTGCGCGAAGCGCAGCTCGACGCCGTCGACGCCCATGCCCTCGACCTCGGTCAGCGCAGCGACGGGGAGGGCGTTGGCAGGGTCAGCGGCGACGACGCTGATCTCGGGCGTCAGAGGACGGGCCTCGGGGGCCTCGGGCCGGTGGCGGGCGAAGCTGTCGGGGAGCAGAGGCATGCGGGCGTAGAAGGCGTCGGAGAGGGCGGCGCCGACGGAGGAGGGGAAGGCGAAGAGGGTCGCGTCGATGGTGGGGGCGCCGGGGGAGGCTGTGGCGGCGGAGAGCGAGGAGAAGGTCTGCATGAGGGGCCGCGGGTGGGATTTGGAGGGTTGAGGCTGAGGGGTTGGGCGGTGGGTTGTGGTGATGGAGCGGGCGTGGTGCTGGCGTTGTGGGTTAGATCAACAAAGCTTTGTCCTGGGTAGGGCGAGGGCGACATACATCGGATTCCGGGCTCTTCTTGAGGAGCTCGGCGTACTTGGGCATCAGGACGGCGCCATGAGAGTAGTGGCTATCGATGAGGCCCCTGTTGGCGGCCGAGTTGATGGAACGGGTGAGCTTGGAGACGGGGGCGGTGATTCGAGACATGACTTGGGGATGCTGTGATTGCTGGAGATATGACTATGCTGGGTTTGTTGAATGGCAGAGTTGATGGCAGAGTTGATGGCAGAGCTGGGTAGGATCCGCGGTGGTTGAAGTGTGGCAGGTGGTGTGTGTGAGAGAGCAAGGTCAGTGGAAAGCAAAGGCACGAAAGGCCCGGGGCAGGCGGCGGGAGGAAGGGTGCGGGTAGATATATCTTGAGGCGGGAGGTGGACGGCTTGGTGCGAGCTCCTTGCTTCTGCTCTCCATGGGTGACAGGGTGGGCGAGACCTTGACCCGGAGCTCCGGTGCGGTGCGGAGGCGCAGGGGGTGGGGAGAGACATCGAACAACGCCCACTGCCGCCTCCTTGAAAGGTACCTGATCTGATCTACTAGGGCGGCAGAATGAGGCGGGATGAGGAGGCTTGCTTGGCCCACTGGGACCTGATCAACACACACGTGTACAGTACATGTACGTATTGACTCTGTGTGCATCGTCCTTCTGCCTCTCGTGACGGACCAAGTCCACCTACCTTGGGTAGGTAGGTATCTCACGTCACTGTGCGAACGGGCACGGAGCGCAACGAGATTCAATGCAGCATAATGTGCTGATGTACTGAGGTGGTACTGAAGGACGCAATATGCCACACGAATCAGGAGCTCGACGGATCAGCATGCTGCATGAGATGTGGTGGCATGGAACGCAGGCCTGCCTGTATCTGAACCACCACCTTGCTCTTCTTTACAGCGGGAGACAGATAGGGAGATAATGGGACGAGAATGCAGGCGTGATAACGAATTCCAGGAGGCTAATCATCTTGATGCGATATGCCTACCAACAGATAGATAGGTAGATGTGCTGACGAGTGTGGGCGCACACGCACTGTCTGCCTGCCTGCCTGCCTGCCTGCGTTCCGGAGCTCCATCATCAGAGCACAGCGACCCCTATCCTCATCGCCTCAGCGATGATCGCCTGACCGCATGATTTCGATGTAAAATGAGGGGCTGTTGAGTCGTTGGTTTGGGGAGGGACCCCCTGCCGCTTGTTGCGGCGCTGTCGAGTCCAGCACCGCCAGCACCGCCAGCACCACCAGCACCACCAGCAGCACGCGGCCAGGGGTCCTCACCAAACCAAACGTTGAGGAGCTTGGGCCACAAGGTGCGGGGCCCGGACCTGCCGCGGCGCCGGCACCTGGGGCGGTCAGATCTCTTTAGGTTTGGCCTGGATCCAACAACAACTCAACCTGTGGATCAGCCCAGCCCCAATCCGTGGCGAGCAGTACCTCCTGCCGCCATGCAGGCGCATGCGGGAAGCGAAGCACCTTGGCTCCCCAGTATGCATGCAGCAGGGCATCTTCGGCACGGGGGCACCAGAGAGAAGGGGGACCACGAGGTACAACACATTGCACCACACCACACCACACCATACCACAGCGAGCGGCAAGACGGATGTGCTTCACCTCGATGCGCGCACTCGCTCACCGCCAGATCTACATGGTACATGTAGGCTGCGTTTTGGAGCAGCCATGCGCGAGGCACGGGAAGCACACCGTGAGTGTACATGTAGTTCATTTTCACCGATGGCCTGCCCGCCTGACGGATAAGATTGCGAGACCGGGCCATTCTGAAATGTGGGAGTGTGAGTGGTGCCCGGTGCCCCTCTGGGGTTCATTATGAATCGTTGAGCCTCGACAAGGCTGGGCCAGAAGGTGGAGAGGTCGAGGGAGGGCCTGTATTGGTGACATGCCATCACTGTTGTTGACACAGTGATGCTATGCACTGTCTCGAACCCTACACCTGACTTGTTTCTCGCCTATACATCTGCCCGCTCTGGCGCGCTTCAGTGCTTGGCAGAACAACATCAAGGGTTGAGACAGAGCCCTGCGTGGACCTCGCGCTCTCTCAAGTCAGGGAGGCGGCCTTCCGTCACTCGTCGATCAACAAGCACCCTCAATGAAGGGACTGTGTTCGTTGATGCTATTTTCGGCGGGGTTGGCAGGAAGCTCAGCCCTTGACCGGGCCATCACTGCCTTCATCACTGCCTTCCAGCCCCACCACGCTCCAACACGGCTGGGGACCCTCGAGGCGCTGCTTCCAAGAGCTGCACAAGCTGCAGCACCTGTCGCATGGGCCCAAGGGCTTCCATCTCACAACCCCCCAATTGACTCGAACCATTTCAGCTGGACTTCCCTGCCCTTGACTCGCCCCTGGAACCATGCCAAGCATCGCCATCTTGTCATCTCTGAGAAACTTGGCAATACACCTACGGAAGAGAGCGTCGGGAGAATCAAGGCAACACATCTGCGGTCTCTTCCCCTTTTTATGAGACGTCGAGCTTTCCAAAGATCGAATACAACTGCCGTTCCTGTCGAGGGCAGTTGGAGGGGCCTCCCTCCTTCCCCGCCTCTTCTGGGGCAGCCTGGGGCCGTGTGAGCAGCTCAACGACAGGTCGCTTGTCGGCCAGCGACAAGCGACCAACACGTGAAGGAGCTTCCCGTGAGCGAGTTGGTGATTCATTCGTCTGCGCCTTGATCGAGTCTCGCGTTGTTCGCTCCTGGTTCAGAATGGGAGTGCCCTGTTCTTCTGCATCGCCTCGTTGCATCTGATTAGGCACAGCGATTTCTTGGTTCGCCAAGAATCATGATAGCATGTTTGTCTTTACCATCCGATCAACTAGCAATATCCAGCACCTAGCCCCTTCGCCGCAGAGGAGGCTGCCATGTTTGTATCCTTCGCTCATCGCACTGCCCAGGGCACTGCCACAGGCGGACCCCTCAGCAGCGTCCCAACTGGGGCGGACATTGAGGGTACGCACAGCCAGGCGTTCGCGCGCAAACAAGCCTGATTGCTAATCCATGTGGTTCGCCGGCAGCTACGCTCGGAGCCCGCATGGCACTGGGAAGCAGGGATGCCGCCAACGTCTTTCTCATCACAGGTGACCACGAGGCTTGGAATGGCCCATCGGATCAGACGGTACAGACGATGCGATCTTGGGGTGTAACGACCGTGTCGGCCACCCTGGTCGAGGATCGAGCCCAGGCGGCATCAAACCCGGGCCAGCAGAAGAAGAAGAAGAAGAGTCTGAGCAACCTCTGGGGTCTGAGGGCGGCATTCGCCCGCACAAGCCCAACTGCAGGCTCTCCTAGGGGCTGCTATTTTTCACTTTGTGGGCAGTGCACTCGAGCTACGCACGAGCTCGAAAAGCTGGCTTCACTTGGCGGTCCGATGCAAGACGGAATCCAAGCCGATCGTCGTTTGGGAGCCAAGCAACTTGTCTCTATACGATTTGCAGCAGGCCCTACCACTCGCCGACATTGCATCCTTCAGCCCCAACACATTGGCAATGCTGTTTGGTTCCGAGGGCGACGTAGACGAGGCTGCGATCGAGGGCTACGTGGGCACGCTCATGGTCGGGGAGATTGGACCTTCGGGAAAGGGCATCATCCTCGTGCGCAGTGACGAAAAACATCTGGTGGCCACCAAAGAGGGTGGCTTATCCTGGACGCCGACGTTCCACACCTCGGGCGGTCATCAGTATATCCACAGGGCCGGGACCGCGTCGGTCTTTGCGGGAGCTTTTGCCATCCGCTTCGTGCAAAGGGGCAACGCAGCCGAGGCAGCTCTCGCCGGTTCCGTGGCCGAAAGCTTTGCGCAGGAGCAAGTTGGGCTTCCCAGCCGAGACCCGTGCCCGAATCTGAGCGCGCAAGAGGACTACGCACACGCATCTTACGGACTGCCCCGAGGGCGTGCCGCCGGTAATGAGGTGTGGAACCTCGTGGGCTTCGAAGTGCGCGTGCGGGAGCTTAGGGAGAGGATAGCTGCGGACCGGCGTCACCAACAGAGCCAGCAGAGGCGGCTGTCGGGTGAGACCATTACTGACGAGATGTGAAGACGGTTGTGGGCGGGCGGGCAGGAAGGAAATCTATGGTCTTTGTCAAAGATGCCAAACAGCGGCGGCATCAGCAACAGCGGCATGGTAAACGGGTATTATTCTAAGTCTTTTTTGCTTTTTTTTTCCGACTTGCTCTTATTCTCCCCCTTGCAGGGATGTCCAAGCTTTTTTTCTCGTAGACCACCAGCCCTTGTGATCTCGTACCAGACACCTACCGAATGACCTGGGTGCCCTCGGCGGGCTCGAGGATGCGCCACTCGCAGTCGATCTGCTTCGGGTTGGCGTCCTTGAGGGTCTGAATGATGCGGTTGGCAATGGCCTCGAAGTTTCCGGTCGCGAGAGCGAGGATGGTGGGGCCGGCGCCGGAGAGGCAGACGCCGAGGAAGCCGGGCTGGTTGCTGGGCGACATGGACTCGACGACCTCGCTGAGACCGGGAATGAGGGTTTGGCGGTAGGGCTGGTGGATCTTGTCCTGCATGGCGAGGTGGATGAGCTCCGGGTCCGGCGGCGAGGTGCCGAGGGCGACGGGCAAGAGGGCGATGCGCTGCATGTTGAAGGTCTGGGCGGACACGTCAGTCAGGGGAAGCGAGGCACAAGAGAACGAAAAGGTGGAAGAGGAGGAGGAGGAGGAGCAGCAGCAGCAGCAGCAAGGACAGACGTACGACATCGGGGCGGGTGTAGTGCGGCGGCAGGACCTCGCGGGCGAGGTGGGTGGGCACCTGGAAGTTGGGGATGATGGCGATGGCCTTGATCTCCTTGGCCCAGGGGAACTTGATGTGGTGGCCGATGCCGTGGGGCGGGGCGGGCGGGGTCTCGCCCGTGTCGACGCCGCCGGCCGGGGCGGGCAGGACCTCGGCGAGGGGGATCTCGATGCGCTGCGTGTCTTCGGGGGCGAGGGGGCGGAGGTAGGTGCCGACGAAGCCGCCGTAGAGGGAGGCGCCGACATTGTCGGGGTGGCGCTCTGTGCGCATCGGGCGTGAGAAACAACGGGCCATAAGGCGGGGTCCCTCCAGGGAGGGCTCCTGGGAGGATTCCTGAAGGAGAGGGGACAGGGTGACTCACCGATCATGAGGCAAAAGTCAAAGAGGCGGTCGAGGTCGAGGTCGAGGTGGCCGACCTCGCGGCCGAGCATGACGCCGGCGACGACGGCGGACCCGGAGCTGCCGAGGCCGCGGCCGAGAGGGATGGGGTTCTTGATGTGGACATGGGTCTCGACAGGGAACATGCGCTGGCCGTGGCAGCGCAGGACGTAGAGGGCGACGCGCGTGATGAGGTTGACGGAGGGGTCGAGGCTGATGTCGGCGCTGCCCTCGCCCTGGCCCTCGTAGGTGATGCGGCAGTTCAGGGGCTCGGCCGAGGTGGCGCGGGCGCGGTCGATGGTGACGTGCAGCTCGAGGTAGACGGAGAGGGCGAGGCCGATGACATCGAAGCCGGGGCCGATGTTGGCGGAGGACGAGGGGGTTTTGATAACGAAGGTCTCCATGGTGATGATGGTGGTGACGATGATAGGGGTTGGACGAGCGAATGAGGTGACGAGTGCCCGAGGTCCCTGACGGCGGATGATGCTCGCTATGGTCGAGATGCCTTGAGTAGGTCGGCAGTTCTGGGGCTGGTCGTCGTCTATCACACACAGGACCAGTCAGTGAGCAGGGCCATTGGTGAGTGAGTGAGTGTGTCGGTGTCCCTGATCGTGGCTGGAAAATTCGGGAGCAGCCCGATCATCGGAGCTTCAGCCACAGGGCAACACACGGCAGGAGGGGTCGGGTTGGACCCGTAGGATCTTGAGGGGCGGTGACTCAGGTTCCACTGGCTCCCTATCAGCAAGCTAAATGTACATACCTAGTAGATGTAGACAGCATACCGCCCACCGTACTCAGCGTCACGGAGCCATGGCGCATGGGATTGTGGGCCAAAATGGCATTTCTCGTCGCCCCTCCCCCGTTAAGACCTAAAAGACGTAAAAGGCCTAAAAGGCCTAAAAGACCTAAAAGACCTGAAAGACCTAAAAGAGACGGAGCGAGGGTCCCCACTGTCGTCACTGCCCGACGTCATCCCCAGGAACAACATCAGATTCCCGTACGAAATTCCCATCTCGTCTGGTTCCGGCGCACCGTCTTTCTCATTCGCCAAATTCCCATCCTGCTTTCCCCCTCCATCGCATCACATCTCGATCTGCCCACCCCCAAGTCCCACCCTGCGCGAGACCCTTTTCTTTGCCTCTTGGCTGTCTTGATGTTCTCTGTCCTCGACCAAGATCATCCATCATTCTCTCAATTCCGCCCCTTCTCGCTGCTGCAAAAGTCGCTCACGGCGTATCCTGGTCTCTGTCTCTCGACACGACCGTCTCATACCTTGCTTATGTAGGCAGTTGCATCCCCCGTTTTCTCTCCGCTCCAGGCATCCTCAGCACACCGAACGAGCATACCGCCTATCGGCCAGCCTTACCTCCTGCACCGCCTGCCTTCCCACCTGTACCGCCAGCCAACACAACATCCACCACCACCATCATCAGTACTCCCAGTCAACAGCGCCATCGTCGTAGCGCAAGGGCCATCTCATCAGGCATTGATGAGCACAACGCCCGCCCTCCAACTCGACCGACACGTCCTTACAGATGGCCACGCCTAGGGCCGCGAATCAATGACAAACCCCACCCAGCAGCCCAACAACAGAGACCTTCCACGCGCCATCACCGACTCGTCTCTCCCAACTCGCCGCCGCCATGACCCTCCTTCGCCCCAGGACCCCGGCCCCTACGATCAAGCCGGTTGCTCCTCTCGACGGAGCTCTTCCAAGCGTGCATCTTCCTCCAAGCGTGGATCCTCTTCCAAGCGCGGCTCATCGTCGAGGCCGTCGGTGGCCCAGCTCGAAGACCACCAGGTACGGGCCAACCCCTAGTTTTTCCCCCTCTCGTCGCCTGCTCGTCGTCCGTGAGTCACGGGTGATGGCTGTCGACCGCTGATGCCTGGTGACTGACATGCACCCGCCCCGGCTAGAATCGCTCAAGCCCCTCGGATCCCGATCCGTATGCCCACCAGGTCTACAGCGACGGTCTCCTGCCCACTCTTGCAAAGCTGCGCAAGGCCGAGGAGAGGGACGACCGCAGGAACTCGCGCATAGAACAGGGCGGTGTCTACTCTTCCAGTGTAGGTCTCGTCCCGTCCCGTCCCGTCCCATCACCCCGCGCCACCTGCTGACCCATGGCCTTCCCTCCCCCCACAGCGCAACGCAGCTCGGTTCGTGTGCCATGCGTGCAACAGAGTGCAGACCCCCGAATGGCGGCCAGGACCCGATGGGCCTGGCACGCTTTGTAACGTCTGCGGGCTGGTGTACGCCAGTCGTAAGCGGAACAACAAATCGTTGGCGGGTTTCTCCAGCCTGGATCGGCGAAAGGACGGCAAGAACGGTGGCCGATGAAGCCGCCTCGTCATTGTCGCCTCGAACAACGGATTGAGAGGCGTGATTGACCCCCCTTCCAGGGCGATGATTGCCGGAGTGACTTGAGCCGGGGATTTCTCTCTTCTCCTTTTTTTTTCTCCTTTTTAGAACTCATGGGAGCAGGCGTTTGGAGCAAGCGTGGCACATCTACTGGCTTGTATCGATGTTTGCGATCTATATATCCTTGTCTTTCTCTTTCGAAATTGGCTACTGCTTCCCATGAGCCGGCCTACAAAGGGCTCGCATGTTTGATGCTGACACCCAAAGACTCTCATACCTGTCAGTCAACGTACATGCCTCGACCGTTTTGGACATGACCCGCCTTGGCCATCCAAACGACACGATTGGCGATCGAGCTTGAAACTTGAATGGCCCGCGCAGATATGCTTCTCCCCGCTCGGCTCTGGTTGGGTGGGGCATCCTCCGCCTTTTGGTCACTTGTCCCGCTTTCCCACTCCCAGTTTCTGCTACTTCATTCATCGTGTTTATTTGATGCCGTCACAATCTATCTGATCAGGCCGTCAACTTTCTCTCTGCCTGTTGGGACAGCCCATCTATGCGGGTGGATCCAAGTTATTAGGCAGCTTCACAGAGACTGAGGCTTTCGGACGTTTCCGTTTGCGTGCTACTGTGCTGAGTGGCAGCCCGTATTCTCGTTCGTTTTCCTACATACTAGCACAAAACAAGAAACCCAATGAGCGATTCGCGGCCACTTCGCCTACCCCGATGTGGTTGGCAGCCACATGTGAAGCGATGCGTGTTGCCCCTTTTCTGCTCTTCGCCCCGCCCCGCCGAACCCGATCCAACCACGGCGTCCGCTTCCGGCCAGCTGGCGCCACCTTGACGGCCGCCAGGCCGCTTGCCGGTTACCACCGCCCGCGTCCACGGCCGTATCATCGAGGACTGTCCGGATATTGCCGTTGATGCCGCGCTTCGAGCACCACCCACTCCTGGACGTGTCAAACGGAATCCCCCCTCTGCTGCTCTGCGACGCTGCCCACGCTGAATTCGAAGGCGGGACTCCACTCGTTGGCGAGGACGGGATCGTCGGTACAGATACGAGGAGTGGAGGCGTGGGTTAGAGGGGTAAATTCCCCGCGACTGCCGACCTGGTTGTCACCATTGGAGGGGGGCTTCGCGGCTCGGGCTCTCGACGACGTGCGCTGGCGGGACGTGGACGGTGGCCGTTCAGACGCAGGCGTACAACGTCACGAAGACATGCGCCGTGGTCATGTCATGTAATGTCATGACATGTACCTACGTAGATGGCGAGCGGTTTGGTAGTAAAAGGCTGAGCCGTCGCCGCAGACTGTCATGCCCTCCTCTACATATTCAGCCCTCCTCTGTATATCCAGCATCCACCTCGTTACCCGGGACATCATCATCCCCACCCAACGAGACCATGCACATCTCCCACTTTCTCGGCATCTCGTCCATGGCAGCCATGGCCTCGGCGGTGACAGGTAAGAAGGCAGCACCCGCGGCTTTCGGCCTCTTCCTTTCCGACGCAAGACTGACCGAACCCGCTTCCAGTCTCCTACGACACGGGCTACGACGACGGCGACCGCCCCCTCTCGGCCGTCAGCTGCTCCGACGGCGCCAACGGCCTGACGACGCGCTACGGCTGGACGGCGCAGCGCCAGGCCGCCGGGTTTCCCTACATTGGCGGCGCCGAGGCCCTCGCGGGCTGGAACTCGCCGAACGTGAGTCCTTCCGTGCCTTGGCCCCTGCCCCCCCTCTATGCTGTTCAAGTGTCCAAGACGAGAGAGGCGTGTGCTGGTGCCTTGATGTGGGGGATGGACCCCGTCTTGCCGAGCGAGGACTGACGCGTGGATAGTGCGGTACCTGCTGGGAGCTTGCGTACGGTGGGCGCACCGTTCACGTGCTGGCTGTGGACCATGCGCTCGCTGGGTTTAACATTGCGCTGGATGCGCTTAATGCCCTCACGAATGGACAGGCGGTGCAGCTGGGGCGCGTCGAGGCGTCGGCGAGGCAGGTTGACGTTGCCGAGTGCGGTCTGTAGAAATTGGGGGCGTTGCGCGACGCTGGGTTGGGGGTTGTTCGGACCACGTAGTTTACTCGTAATGAGAGGGATTGAGAGCTAGGTCGTAAGGAAGGGACTTGAGTTCGTTCGCCACGAGTACAAGACGTAGGACGCAATTCTCATAGGTGAACATGCATTCGCGACGCAGACACGAGTTTGAACGAAGATGAACGAATTGAACATTTCCAGAACGCCATACCGGCCAGTGTTTGTGTAGACCACTGGCACCTGTCAGATCCCCCCATCCAGCCTGTCCAGAAAACCCAGCCCGCCCCGTTTCATAATGATACAGAAATGTCATAAAAGGTAACCGGGAGCCCTCGTGGGTTTACTCCTCTTTCGCGGCGCCGCGGATGACGCCAATGCCGACGCCGACGCCCAGAGTCACGAGCAGGACCAACGCGACGCCAAGGGCGCATGCCCACGCCCCAAGCTTCACCTTTTGTCCCCTCCGCCGCCTCGCTGCCAGGTCCTCCGATGCAACGACGGCTTTACCCTCGTGCAGGGACCCGGTCTCGAGCGAGCCGCGGTAGTGCTCTCCCCTTGCCGACGCACCGGCTCCAGAGCCCGGTCCCAGGACCAGAGCGAGGCGCGATCGGCTGGCCTCCTGCTGCTTGCGGGGCGGCGAGTACCCGCCGTCGGAGGAGTAGAGGGAGTTGGTGTCGGCAAAGGGCGAGGCCGAGTAGACAGAGCCCGCGTCCTCATTGCTGCGCGTGCGGGCGCGAGTGAGAGGTGGATCGTAGGCCAGAGCTGGAGGCGGAGGCAGGCCTGGGTGGGCGGCGGAGGGGCTGTCCGGGGTCCAGAGCTCGACAAACGGCTTCGGAGGCGTCGAGGGGCGGTCTGACGCGGGCGGCGTGCGGGGGGGTGGTGGTTGTAGAGCCAGGAGCGGGGCCGTCCCATTCGTGCTCGCTGCTGTTGTGTGGACGGCGAGGCGAGGTCGCGGTGACGTCTCAGGGGAGGATGGAGAGCCATGGGCGTAGGGCGTGGATGAGGCCTTGTTTACGTAGTCCATCTTCAAGGGTGCTGGAACGGCGGACTGGCGGGTTGGCGAGGGCATTGCTGGCATGTCGACAAACGGGTCGTCATTTTGGCGTGTATAATCCATAGTGAGTGTGGTGTGTTGGTGTTTGGCCTGTGTAGTCGGCTCTTGGGTCGTGGCGAGTTGCAATGACTCGTCTTCAGTGTTGTTCTCGAAGGTTGTCTCCGAGACTGTAGCTAATGATAGTACAGAGATCGTCTCAGTCAAAATGTGGTATCTCAAGTCGGACCACGGGGTTTCCAGTCGCGTCGTTGGTGTGGTAGTGTTCGCGTTGAATTGTCAAGCAGATGTATTGGTATCAAATCAAACGAGCTCGTCAAGAGCAGGGAATGGACGGCAGGGGCCAACAGATGGATAGAAGCAAACGAAGAGGAAGAAGAAGCAGAAGCAGAAGAAGCGAGCGAACGGCGGTTGGGCCAAAGAAGAACAGCGACCGAGGCGGCGAACAGAAGAAACGAAAGCAATGGCTCCAGGCGCGTCGTGGTTTGGTGAAGTGATGTAAGAATAGGAATAGGATTGGAATGTGGATGAAGAAAGGGAAGGGGAACCAAGAGGGGCAGCGTCGAGTGAATGGAGAGGGAGACAAGAAGCAGGTCGGTCGTCCGATGGCGGGTGGGGATACCGATCGCCAGGAGGCCCAGTCCAGTCCCAGTCCCAGCCAAACCAGGTACGCTGAGCCTCCTCATGCTTCCTCCCCCCCAAAAGGCGTGCGAGAACGCAAAACAGCCTTTTCCCGCATTCGTCTCTCCTCCAAGTCTCTCCTCCAAGTAGAGGTGAAAGACCCCACATGATCGACGTAGCGAGCCTCCGCTTGCGCAGGTCCGACATGGAGCCTCCCCTGTCTCAAACAGCCTCTTCTCTGCCTGAACAGCCCCTTCCCCCATCGACACGACGCCTCGCACAGCCTCGCCGCTTGGCTGCTCTGTGCGAGTAGCGTGTGCTCGCCCATCGATGGCTATTTTCCCTCAACTGGTAGTGTGCGTGAGGAGGTGCTAGGAAGAGGCATGGCGTCTTTCAGGTCGAGCGAGTAGCGGCCATTTTCCCACTCGACCATCTCATCCCTGCCTCCACGTCCGCCGTCGACTCGGCTGTGGTTGCTGACCCCTTTCCCTTGCTTGTGGGTGCCCTCGCTTCTACCGACGTGGCAGTGGTCCCAGACGCAGGAGGTAAGCTTCGAGGAGGGCGGTGTTGGCGGCGAGGAGCATGCTCACATCCAACCCTCACACTCGGGGGAGGGGGCAGGCTCGTGTTTCGAACATGGCTGAAAATGCGATGGCAGCCAGGGATGAGACTCCCAATGGATGGATCGTTGGGAGACGTGCTGGGCCGTGAGACCGAATCAGAGGCGAGCTGGACCTGAGGGACACTTGGAAGATCAAAGAGGGGGGGGGGGGGGGGGGCCCGCAAAAAAGGAAAAGGGTCCCAAAGGGGTCCAGGGGCGGGGGGATCCCAACTTCAGACGCGCTAATGCACTAGCTTGACCTGATAAGATAAACCCCCTGACCTCCATTGCCTGGCACCTAGGGACAGGTACTCATCGCTCATAGGTGCCTTGTCACAGTGAGTACCTTATGCAAGTGCACTGCAGTTGGTTTGCTGCCGCTGGCCCCATCCTCGTGCACTGCATCCCGGGCGCACATCGCTCTCATGGCCACTCTCAACAAGACCGGGAAAAGAACGCAATTCTACATCACAGCTCCTCACAGGCCCTCGCAGGCCCTCGCAGGCCCTCACAGGCCCTCACAGGCCCTCACTGGTCCACAGCATGCTCGTACATGACCTTTTTTCTCTGACCTTCACCGAGGCCGTTGGTCCGGTCCTATTCTACTCGTATAAACCCTACATACAACATGGCCGCAGCCCCCATAGAGGCGCCCTTTCACCCTCGCCCCCTCTCGCAGAATAATAAACCCTCCACTCGCTCACGAGCTAACTCTCCCTCCGAGCTAACTATCCTCTGAGCTAACTCTCCTCTGATCCTCCTCTCCTCTTAGCGTGCACTAGACCAGACTGCTAACGAAGAAACGGCGCAACTATTATACAACATGACTGAGCAGCCATCGCGGAGTCTTGCACATGTGCCCCCTCCATCCCTTGCGTTCCTCCACTTGTGTCCTGTCCGCGCCGCGGGAGAAGGACAGGACCTGCTCGTGACCTCATTAGGTGCTTCCGTCTCGTAGTTATATACAGTGCCACCCGTCTTGGGGTAGCCTACAGAGTCCGGATTCTGACTTTGATACAACCTCGCACATCTCGTCCTCAACTCGCCGTGGTCGTCAGTATGTGCGCCAGACCAAGCTGGTCAATGGCCTCCTCCGCCACCCATCGCCTTTTCGAACCTCCCGAGGTCCCGCTCGACGAAACGTTGACGAGGAAGTGGACGAGATCGACCGTGATTCCGTCCGCGAGGCCCAAGCTCGCCGCCATTTCCTGTGTCACGCCGTCCCTGGTGTTTTGGCTGCCGCTGCTGGCTTGCGCAAAGAACCGCTGCAGCGATGTCTGCGACGCTGTTGCCACCTGGAGGTCTCGCTCCTGAAGGACAAAGAGAACCACGGCTCGGGCGAAATCGAGCACTTCCTCCGTCACCATGAACGTGGCCGTCGGCGAGGGAAGGCTGGACGTTGTCGTGGGCGCGGTCGGCGTCACCGGCGCCGGCGTGATCGTCGACGGCGGATCCTGTGGGAACGCCGTGATCGTTGTCGTCACCGTGACCGTGCCTGTCACCACAGTCGTGACACGGTACGGAGGGGTAATAGTTAGGAAGGGAATCTGCTCGAATGCAGCTGGCTGATCTGTACCGCCGCTGTTGTCGATGCCATTGTCGTTATCAATGACGACTTCCGAGTTGGCGCCGCCCGTACGGGTTGAGCGTCCATCAAAGGTAACGAGCGAGTTCTGCGCGATGCACGAGAGACTCTCTTGGTTGAATTTGGCAAGGATAGTTGTGCCCATCAACGGGATGGTAAAGTTGGTTTGCGCCTGCTGGATCAGTCGTGGGATGGCCTGGCCCAGCGTCACATTGCCGATGTTGCCCTCAGCCGCCATGAGCACAAGGTTCGTCGTTGTGCATCCTGTCGCACCGGTCACAGCACAAGTCGACCCCGTAAAGCCGTTGGTACATATGCACGAGCACACATTGCGCGCCACGACATTGGTGCCTCCGTTTTCGCAGGTAAGCTGGGCTTCGCAGCTCGTCAGCGCCGGCTCTGGCGGAGCATTGTTTCCACCGCTGTTGTTGAAGACGAAGAAGTGCAGTGGCACAACGATGGCAGCCGCTACAATGCCGAGGAGCAGTACCACAAGAAGGATAAAAGCCCAGAGGGGGAGGCCACAGCAACGCCTGCGTTTCTTCTTGTCCTCTGAGCTATCGCCGTCCGCATACGTGATCTCCGTCATACCGCGACGTCGCGCCTGGGGTGGCGTCTGGATCCGATCAGGGGCCAGCGGCCATGAGGAAGTGGATCTCCTGAACCAGCTACCGCGACTCTGACGAGTAGGGGCTGGCGTCGCTGCAGGCGGAGGGAATGCCGCCAGCATATCTGAGAACCCGGATCGGTGTTGGTCATCTAATCGTTCGTTCGGCAATCAGCCAAGGGCTGAGGATGGAAATTGGGTCGACTTACCAGACATCTCCTTCTCCATACTCTTCTCGTCAGGCCAACTGCCATGGTCGTCGAACCTGCTCGCGGGTCGGTTCCCTCGGTCCATCATCGCAGCGAGTCGTGTTGCACGCTTGATGAGGTCAGGTAGACTGGTCATGCTGCCTCGCGCCTCCATTTCTCGGACCGAGTCGATATCAAGTCCGAGCTTGGGCGGCCGTCGAATGGCAGACAGCCGACTGAAGGGTCGCGGCGACGGCGTGGCCCTTCTGATGTCTGCGGGATCCGCTGCACTGGCGGCGGCGAAGGCACCCAGCATGGCGTCTGCCGTCAGCGGAGGAGGGCTGGCCGTCGCCTTGATGGTTGGCAGAGCGCCCGAAGAACTCGATGAGACGTCGAGGAAACCGGTGCCCGTCTGGAACGGGTATCCGGGCCCCTGTACGGGCGTTGGCGCAGGTCGCAGCGCAGCCGGCGACGGCTCTGCGGGCATGGATGACTCTCCGCCGACGCCGCGGTTCATGACAATGGCAGGCTTGCCTCGTTTGCCGATGCTGGCGCTTCTCACAAGTTTGCTTTCATCACCATCATCATCCTGTGATCTGAAGCTCTCCTCTTCGGTGATTGGATCTTCGAAGAATCTATCTTGATAGGCCGGGCTGGGTTCTGGCGATTCCGTGCCCCAGCTTTCGGGGATTGCAGCACTCGAAGCATAAGACCCATGCGAACGCGAGCGAGGGCTTTCTTCGGGGATCGGCGAGACGAATGAGGCATTTGAATAGAACGATGAGTCTCCTCTCCTTGAGGACGGTGGCGGGCCAAGCCCGACACTTCTCCTCGGCGGCGCGAGTCCAGGCGTTTGACTTGTAGAGTCGGGCATGGGAAAGTCAGGGATGGAACCAACAGACGAGATTGTCGATTGCGTCTGCCTCGATGATGGCGTGGGAGGTACGGAGCCTGACAGGTCCTGGCTTTGAGTCGAATCCCTTGCATTGTACTGGAAGACGGGTGTATGGTCCTGCACACGGGAACTGTCGAGAATAGAGGGCACCTGGCTTGGGCGTGGAGGGCGTTGCGGAGGCTGCGATCGACCCGGAGGCGGCTTATATGGCGCAGAACCGGACGAGGTGACCGGGGATGGTATGGGACCCGGCAAGGGCCATTGGGGGATCGGAGTAGGTCGTGATATAAGCCCGGTACCGCCGGCATCTCTGCCTTGCGAGGCTTGTCCCTGAAGCCGTGGAATCCGCGATTGACTGGGACTGGATGCGCCGGCCTGGCGTCGTGGGGATGTGTTCGGTGACATGTTCGGTCCTTGGTCTCTTGTGCCTTGCGGCTGGATGGGCGATGCGTAGTTGTTGTTCCTGGGTGCGCCGGCCTGTACACCATCTCCGGCCCTCCGTGCTGACCCTCCTACTGCCGGCCCATCCATATCTCTTCCATAGCGCGGTTGACTCATTTAGTACTCCCCAGCACTGCGATTTGCCTTCCGAACGCGGGGCTGTCTACTTCGTTTTGTCTGGAACATGCGGTATTGTATTCTGCGGTTGCATATGTCGTGACCCGTACTGTCGCCGAGGGCTGAGAGTGGCAGATTGGCGTAAATTTGGTCGTGTGCGCTGGGCGCAGACGAGGATGCTGTGGTCGCTAGTTCGACGCAGCGGGCCTGCAACCGGCAGCAAACTCTGCACTGGTTGACGGATGGATTTTGAGTGGCCGAAGTTTTTCAAACGAGTGGTTGTGCGACGTGAACGCAACTTGGTATGACGGTCAGGTTGCCGAACCGTTGATGACAGGTCAATGAACGAACGAAAAGGTCGGGGAGCTGACGTCGGGTAACTAGTTAGAATTGAACAAAAAAAGAAAGGACAAGTCGCGAAAGACTGGTGTGGACAGCAGAGCTGCAAGAGATTCTGAAGTGACGAATTAGTATATCGATTGGAAGAGGAAGCTGTCCACACCCCGTATGCGCATGGGCTGATCAACTAGGGGCGACAGCAACGGGCTCGAAGCAAAGGGGAAT